TTCCAATAAGATGATTATAAAAACTCTATAAAGAAGTCTATTAAGTAATGTCCGTCTGTCTCCAGGTTGCCCCAGACAGACGGACATGTTACCTTGGTGAAATCTGCATCTTTGTGTTATTGCATAATCCCGGGCAAAAGAGGTGCTACCAATACCTCTAGTTTGCCTGTACTATAAACTGGTAGTCATTTTCCGGCTAATATATCGGAAAATTGAGTTCACCTGATGTTGGGGTGTCTCCCCTTCTATTGACTTTAGATTAGTGATTGCTTTTTCCTTGTCGGGGTATACATTGGGATTGATCTCATGCTGTCTGTCATACCGCAACGGGACTGATATGGCACGAGATTATATAGCTCGAGTACTTGATCAAGGCCGTCTGGACCGTCCAAGTCCACCCAGTTGAAAAAGACCACCGAGATATAAGGCCGTCAAGGCACGTATATCTAAGGAGAGACACTTTTGAGACTTTTCCAGCTCAATTGAAATGAATGAATATATATAAATAGCCGATGTCAACTTAGTGAAGTCCCTCTGATTCACACATATATGACGAATGTTCCAATTGACTCAAAATCACTTTCGTGTGGTTTTTCAAACTTTAGGCCAAGATCTTTCAAATCCCAGATGTGATGGAGAAATTCTAAGGCCAGATGCGAATTCAGTGGGGTCTCTGGATTAAAAATTTTTCGGCCTGTGTAATTTAAAACAATTAAGAATGTATAGTCGGGCAAGTTATATTCCAGAGAGTACTTTGTATGGGGGCTAAGGTCAAATGAGGTCCCATCATTATGCAAAAATGAGGTCCCATCATTATACAAAACTAAGTTTTCCCGCTTTTTTTATAGATACTAGAACATTCAAAATAATTGTGAGCTCAAAAGCCCTATTCTGGGGGTACAGTTGTATGGGTACTAGGTGAAATTATCTTGAAAATTGTGACCTGTGAGTGCGCTTAAAATTTACATGAACCTGTACGGACGGACGGACGGATATAGCTTAATCGATTCTCAGCCGACTGTTATACTTTAAGGTGAGTATACAACCGATATTTTTGGGTGTTTCAAACGTATAATAACCTCCCCACTATAGTGATGTAGGGTACAAAGAAGAGTGTATGTATCATATGCTTTCATATCATTTTATTAGCTTGCAGAAGAAAACTTGAATGGAAAAGTTTAAAACAATGTTGTTGCAGATTTAAGGAAAATCCCAAGATTATAATGATTTAAATGGTTCTTAGCAAATATTGGAAAGTTGTTTCAACAGATTTTCGATAAAGAGAATTTGAATTATTCTAATTGCAAACGTTAGTACTTAAAGCATAGATTTAAGACAAAATAAATAGAATATTGCAAATTTTTCAGTTTAAAATTTCTTAAAAAGTATAATAAAATTCAAAACTACATATATTTCATAATTACCACACATCTACTTTAAACTCCTTTTATTTTATAATAAATCTTGTTAAATTGTTAATTTAATTTTCATATTTAATTGATTTTTACCCTGGATATACATATATTGTATCATTATTGCAAAGAGCATGTGTATTACAATACAAAATATAATTTAATTGTCTTATGTTGCTTATTCTTGCCATTTCATTCATTAAATTTTTCATTTAGTATCTTTTATATGTATTATTTTATAAAAAAAAAGAAATAATTAGATTAATAAATAATGAATACATTTCCTCCCAATAAATAAGACGATTAAATAACCATCATTATTCCAAGTAGTAGTCATCATCAACATCATCATAATCATCTTTATCCAACATCATCAACATCGCACAAAAGGTGCAAAAACATCCTGAACATGGCGAACAAAAAACAAGATTCAAAAGAAAAACCTAAACATCCAACTATTCTATACAGAATATGACGCAAGTAATACCCAGTAAAAAATATACTTCAGATTTTTTAATAAAAACCTAATATTTGTTTAATTAAAAAATTTTTATAAATAAAAATTCCTGTTTTATTGAAATATATTCTCATTATGAAATTTTTCTTCTGTTTCCAAATTACTTTTTCACTTTATTTTATCTATAGAACTTTTTGCTGGGTTTCCTATATATTTTGCTTTATTATTTTTTACTTGTTTTGTAAATTATTTAATATAATAAAATATGGAAAATACAGGAAATGAAAAATATAACCCAAACAACTACCACTACTACACACCGATATCCTATTCATAACTAGATTTTTTTTTTAACTGTTACATTTTAAAGGAAAACAACGTTGCCTAGTCTTGTTTGCTATAGTTACGCTTTCATACATTAAAAATGTTCATATTGACAACGAAATAATTTTGGTAAATACATAATTCTAAGGCGAAAGGAACAGGACAGGAATCAATCTCTACTATAGAGGAAATTTGTGAGCTATAGTTTAGTCTATAGACAAGACTAAAGACCAGACTATAGATAAGACTAACGACCCAGACAAGACTATAGTCTAGACTATACTAAAAACTATAGACCACACTATAATCAAGAGCATAGATAAGACCATAGACCAGACTATAGACAAGACTATAGAAAAAACTATAGACCAGACTATATACAAGACTACAGACAAGACTGTAGACAAGACTAAAAACCAGACTGCAGATAAAACTATAGTTTAGACTATAGACAAGACTTAAGACCAGACTATAGATAAGACTAACGACCCAGACAAGACTGTAGTCTAGACTATACTCAAAGCTATAGACGAGACTATAGTAAAATTATATTATATTAAAGACTACAGACAAGACTGCAGATAAGATTATAGCCCAGACTAAAGACAAAACTATAGACAAAGCTATACATTGACGAGACTATAGACGAGGCTATAGGCAAGACTACAGTCAACACTATGGTCAAGAATATAGTCAACACTATAGTCAAAACTAGAAACAAGGCTATAGACTATATTAAAGACTATAGACAAGACTGTAGCCCAGACTAAAGACAAAACTATGGACAAGACTATACATAGACGAGACTATAGGCGAGACTATAGACGAGACTATAGACGAGACTATAGACGAGACTATAGGCGAGACTATAGACGAGACTATAGACGAGACTATAGACGAGACTATAGACGAGACTATAGACAAGACTATAGACGAGACTATAGACGAGACTATAGACAAGACTATAGTCAACACTATAGTAAACACCGTAGTCAAAACTAGAAACAAGGCTATAGACAAGACTATAGACAAAGCTATAGACAAGACTATAGTCACGACTATAGTAATGACTATAGATAAGACTATAGACAAGACTATAAACAAGACTATAGTCAAGACTATAGACAAGACTATAGTAAAGACTATAGACAATAATATAGACTATAGCAAAGACTATAGTCAAGACTATAGACAAGACTAGAGACAAAACTATAGTCAAGACTAGAGACAAAACTATAGTCAAGACTATAGACAAGACTATCGGCAAGACTATAGTCACGACTACTGTAAAAACTATAGTCAAGAATATAGACCAGACTATAGTCAAAACTTTAGTATATATAGTCAAGACTCTAGAAAGACGATAGTCTCGACTATAGACAAGACTACAGTCAAGATTATAAACGAGACTATAGTAAAGACTATAGTCAAGACTATAGATAATAATATAGACAAGACTATAGTCACGACTATAGTAAAGACTATATTCAAGACGATAGACAAGATACAAGACAAGACTATAGACAAGGCTATAGACAAGACTATAGACAAGACTATCGTTCAGACTATACACAAAACAATAGACAAAACTATAGTTATGAATATAGACAAGACTATTTAGACACTACTACAATCACGACTATAGTAAAGACTATAATCAAGACTATAAACAAGACTATAGACAAGACTATACACAAAACTATAGACAAGACTACAGTTAAGACTATAGTCACGACTATAGTAAAGCCTATAGTCAAGACTATAGACAAGACTATAGATATGACTATAGCCAAGACTATAGACAAGACTATAGTTAAGACTATAGACAAGACTATCGACGACTATAGTCAAGACTATAGACGGGAATATAGTAAATACTACAGATAGGATTATAGTCACGACTATAGACAAAACTATAGAGAATGCTTTATTCAACACTATAGTCAAGGCTATAGTTAAGATTATATGTAAGACTATTTATAAGACTATAGTCAAGATTATAGACGAGACTATAGATAAGACTATAGCTAAGATTATATACGAGACAATAGACAAGACTGTGGATTATATAGTCTTGTATATATAGAGACTATAGCCACGACTATAGTCAAGACTTCAGACGATACTATAGACAAGACCATAGTCTAAACTATATTCAAGACAATAGTCTAGATTATAGTCAGAATTTAAGAAAATATTAAGAATTTAGTTCAACAAACAGATGTGTTATTATAAAAGTGCTGGCAATTATTTTGAATGACTACCAAACCACTGTAAGAGTTTATGTTCATTTTGGCGGCACCTGTCATTTTTGTGTCGCCATTTTATTTTTATTTTATTTTTTTTTTAATTTAAACTCATGTGTCTTTAATTGCCACCATACAAAAAAAATTTGCCAATTTGCCTAAGAAATACAAAAAACGGCAGATTTAATGCAATTGTGGTGTAATTTTATTTCAATTCAATTACAGAAAAAAGCCCCACATTAAAAGTACTTTATAAATTACCAGCAAAAAAAAGGAAGTACACAAAAAAAGGGTCTTTTATTTTAATAAAGTGATATATGGCTTAAAGCACGACAAGCTCAAGAAAGAAAAGGCAGATGTTGTAAGAACAGAACAAGAGAATAAATATTTAAATGGGATTTAGGTTCTCTGTTATTATGAAAAAAAAAAACGAAATAAACATGGAAGTTTTTAGCGGAAATCAAATATAGTACAAAGATCCTTAACAAACAGCAAATGTTGGATGTTTTCTTTTTTTTTTTAAATTTTATAAAATTTTAATTTTCTTTAAAACAAACTTACCTTAAATTCCGTTACAGTTTTCAATATTTTAACAATCCATAATATTATCACTTGGTTACGTATGTATGTATGTGTTTTAAATCCAATAAAAATTGCAAATTTATTTAAATTTCAATTGACTTTTCGCTGATATAAAGTTTTCCATGAAGTTATATATTTTTTAGTGCATATTCTGTAAAGATATAGAATGGAAAGTAAAACATATTAATACTTGATAAAAACATAAAAGTAAAAATGATTTATAGGTTTAAAATGAAAATCAAATAAACTGCAACCAACAAGAAGCATCCACCCACACACTTTTGTTTCTAAACAGAAATCCATTTAAAAGAAACATTTTTATAGGTGGCCGGCCTTAGATGACAGACAGACAGCTCGAGACAAATGTATCAAAAATATTATGTTTAAAAGAAAATAGTCAGTAAAAGTAAAGGCGAAAAGTATTATTCTGAGGACTAGATAAAAAATTAATCAATAGCCAAATATAGACAAACTGGTCCTTAGACTAGTCTCCTTATTGACTTGTCTAATCAGTAGTCTAGTTCAGTTCTAGTTCTAGTTCAGTTCTAGTTCAGTTCTAGTTCAGTTCTAGTTCAGTTCTAGTTCAGTTCTAGTTCAGTTCTAGTTCAGTTCTAGTTCAGTTCTAGTTCAGTTCTAGTTCAGTTCTAGTTCAGTTCTAGTTCAGTTCTAGTTCAGTTCTAGTTCAGTTCTAGTTCAGTTCTAGTTCAGTTCTAGTTCAGTTCTAGTTCAGTTCTAGTTCAGTTCTAGTTCAGTTCTAGTTCAGTTCTAGTTCAGTTCTAGTTCAGTTCTAGTTCAGTTCTAGTTCAGTTCTAGTTCAGTTCTAGTTCAGTTCTAGTTCAGTTCTAGTTCAGTTCTAGTTCAGTTCTAGTTCAGTTCTAGTTCAGTTCTAGTTCAGTTCTAGTTCAGTTCTAGTTCAGTTCTAGTTCAGTTCTAGTTCAGTTCTAGTTCAGTTCTAGTTCAGTTCTAGTTCAGTTCTAGTTCAGTTCTAGTTCAGTTCTAGTTCAGTTCTAGTTCAGTTCTAGTTCAGTTCTAGTTCAGTTCTAGTTCAGTTCTAGTTCAGTTCTAGTTCAGTTCTAGTTCAGTTCTAGTTCAGTTCTAGTTCAGTTCTAGTTCAGTTCTAGTTCAGTTCTAGTTCAGTTCTAGTTCAGTTCTAGTTCAGTTCTAGTTCAGTTCTAGTTCAGTTCTAGTTCAGTTCTAGTTCAGTTCTAGTTCAGTTCTAGTTCAGTTCTAGTTCAGTTCTAGTTCAGTTCTAGTTCAGTTCTAGTTCAGTTCTAGTTCAGTTCTAGTTCAGTTCTAGGTTAGTTCTAGTTCAGTTCTAGTTCAGTTCTAGTTCAGTTCTAGTTCAGTTCTAGTTCAGTACTAGTTCAGTACTAGTTCAGTTCTAGTTCAGTTCTAGTTCAGTTTTGGTTCAGTTCTAGTTCAGTTCTAGTTCAGTTCTAGTTCAGTTCTAGTTCAGTTCTAGTTCAGTTCTAGTTCAGTTCTAGTTCAGTTCTAGTTCAGTTCTAGTTCAGTTCTAGTTCAGTTCTAGTTTAGTTCTAGTTCAGTTCTAGTTCAGTTCTAGTTCAGTTCTAGTTCAGTTCTAGTTCAGTTCTAGTTCAGTTCTAGTTCAGTTCTAGTTCAGTTCTAGTTTAGTTCTAGTTCAGTTCTAGTTCAGTACTAGTTCAGTACTAGTTCAGTTCTAGTTCAGTTTTGGTTCAGTTCTAGTTCAGTTCTAGTTCAGTTCTAGTTCAGTTCTAGTTCAGTTCTAGTTCAGTTCTAGTTCAGTTCTAGTTCAGTTCTAGTTCAGTTCTAGTTCAGTTCTAGTTCAGTTCTAGTTCAGTTCTAGTTCAGTTCTAGTTCAGTTCTAGTTCAGTTCTAGTTCAGTTCTAGTTCAGTTCTAGTTCAGTTCTAGTTCAGTTCTAGTTCAGTTCTAGTTCAGTTCTAGTTCAGTTCTTTCGTCAGTTCTAGTTCAGTTCTAGTTCAGTTCTAGTTCAGTTCTAGTTCAGTTCTAGTTCAGTTCTAGTTCAGTTCTAGTTCAGTTCTAGTTCAGTTCTAGTTCAGTTCTAGTTCAGTTATAGTTCAGTTCTAGTTTCAGTTTCTAGGTTCAGTTCTAGTTCAGTTCTAGTTCAGTTCTAGTTCAGTTCTAGTTCAGTTCTAGTTTCAGTTCTAGTTCATGTTCTAGTTCAGTTCTAGTTCAGTTCTTCAGTTCTAGTTCAGTTCTAGTTCAGTTCTAGTTCAGTTCTAGTTCAGTTCTAGTTCAGTTCTAGTTCAGTTCTAGTTCAGTTCTAGTTCAGTTCTAGGTTCAGTTCTAGTTCAGTTCTAGTTCAGTTCTAGTTCAGTTCTAGTTCAGTTCTAGTTCAGTTCTAGTTCAGTTCTAGTTCAGTTCTAGTTCAGTTAGTTAGTCAGTTCAGTTCTAGTTCAGTTCTAGTTCAGTTCTAGTTCAGTTAAGTTCTGTTCAGTTCTAGTTCAGTTCTAGTTCAGTTCTAGTTCAGTTCTAGTTCAGTTCTAGTTCAGTTCTAGTTCAGTTCTAGTTCAGTTCTAGTTCAGTTCTAGTCAGTTCTAGTCAGTTCTAGTTCAGTTCTAGTTCAGTTCTAGTTCAGTTCTAGTTCGTTCTAGTTCAGTTTCTAGTTCAGTTCTAGTTCAGTTCTAGTTCAGTTCTAGTTCAGTTCTAGTTCAGTTCTAGTTCAGTTCTAGTTCAGTTCTAGTTCAGTTCTAGTTCAGTTCTAGTTCAGCTCTAGTGCAGTTCTAGTTCAGTTCTAGTTCAGTTCTAGTTCAGTTCTAGTTCAGTTCTAGTTCAGTTCTAGTTCAGTTCTAGTTCAGTTCTAGTTCAGTTCTAGTTCAGTTCTAGTTCAGTTCTAGTTCAGTTCTAGTTCAGTTCTAGTTCAGTTCTAGTTCAGTTCTAGTTCAGTTCTAGTTCAGTTCAAGTTCAGTTCTAGTTCAGTTCTAGTTCAGTTCTAGTTCAGTTCTAGTTCAGTTCTAGTTCAGTTCTAGTTCAGTTCTAGTTCAGTTCTAGTTCAGTTCTAGTTCAGTTCTAGTTCAGTTCTAGTTCAGTTCTAGTTCTAGTTCAGTTCTAGTTCAGTTCTAGTTCAGTTCTAGTTCTAGTTCAGTTCTAGTTCAGTTCTAGTTCAGCTCTAGTTCAGTTCTAGTTCAGTTCTAGTTCAGTTCTAGTTCAGTTCTTTTTCTAGAATATTCAATATACTAGTCAGTGGACCAGGCAATAGATTAGTCAACAGTCATAACAATTGAGTACCCTCTTAACTAGTCGGTGTACTAGTCTACTGATGAGGTTATGAATTTGTCTACAGACTTGGCTATGGACTTGAATCCTGCTTGAACCTTTCCGATAAAAAAAACCAGATGAAACATTTCATTTAGAAAGCCAAAGATCAAATATAAGAAATTTTTTTATCACAAAATCTTCATAAATGATGAATTGCATATGTGTATTTGTACTTAAATTTTTTGGTCCTTCAAATAATTATTTATTTGATGTTTAATTACGTATTTTTTTCACTTTTGACATTTAATGAAAATATTTGTTTTTTTTTTTTCGAATGTTCATATATAAAATGGAACAAAAACAACAACAAAATTATGGGGATAATTTTCCACCCACCTTAAAAAGTTGTTTGTTCTGTTTTAAATGAAAAATAAATGAAATGTTTGTCATTATCTTGTTATTGTAGGATAGATAGATATATGTATCTGTAGGTAGATAAATAGGTAAATATATACAATTATATATAAACAAATAGAAGTATATATGTATGTATGTACATATGTATATTAAATTTGTATATACCAAAAATTCTTTATACATATGTACATATGTAAATTTGTACGAATATCTTCATTTTATACACATCATTTAACAGATTGTCTGATGCCATGTAACATGTTGATGTTCAGATCAATACAAATGATCTTGGTGGTGAGAAAAATTTAATTCTTTGAATGAGAAAAGGGGCTATATTGGTCCATGATTTTGGAATACAATCAATAATAAGGATTAAATTCGTCATACACAAGTTTGATGAGAACCAATATCTTTTTTCTAAATTTCATGCCGATCGGTCCATAATTGATCCATTTTTAACATATAATCAAAATAACAAATACTTTAAGAATATGTTAATAAATCCATCTTTCAAATTTTGTTGAATTCGAATCCTAATTGACTCAAACCCTTATCACTTCGATCACTTCGAAAATCATTCTAGTTTAAACATAACTTTGAAAATTAGAATTTAATATAAAACAACGAAAATTTCCCTTTCCACCAACCAATTTTTTATTCAAATAAAAAAAAATTTTTTTAAAATCATTACATCTGTAAAAGAGCCATATAGTCTTCTATATAAATATGTAAATGAAATACATACATACATACTTATGTATTTACACACATTCATACATAAGGCAAAAATGAATCAGTCACGCGCCTCTTTATTTTCATTTGGATATACCCGGTCTATGTTTTTCTACCACAAAAAAAAAAAAAAAACTAAAAAATAGCAACAAAATCGAAAAAATGTAAAATGTCTTATGATGTTTTTATTTCAGATTTTCTGTTCAACTGTTCTTTCTGCTGTATAGAAAACAATTTTAAATGAGAAAACTGAAAAAAATAATGAAAACTGTTGCCACTTTTTGGCTTAGAGCCAACGAGAAAAAAAATCTTAAAGCAAAAAATAATTAAGTGAAAAAAGAAGTCATCGGTAGCAAAAAAAAAAAAAAATCACAAATTGATTTTGACTTGTTTTCTTCTGTTTTTTTCTTGATCATTGATATTTTAATTGTACATGAAACAGAAAATAACAACAACACCATAATTTTAAACAAAATATTTATGAAAAACCATGAAAATAAATACCGGTAAATTAAAGATATTCAATACTTTTGTTTTTGGGCTAAATATTTTATAAATGAAATAATTTTGCAACAGAAAACACACACACTTTGTAAAGAATAAATTGTAGAATGGGATGGAATATTCGGTTTCGGATTACGGGCTTTAAATGAATTTCAACAGGATTCGGCGAAATGGTTAACAAAATTGAAAATACTTCGAAATATTTAAATTAATAGAACGATCATTGATCGACATCTATCTGGGAATAACCGGTTTCGGTCGGCTGCTATATTCGGCTATGCCATTGAAGCATCAGTTCT